TCAAATTCGAAGAAGTATAAAAACTTGTTATAATAAAAATTACTTGGTAAATAAGAATACATATAAATAAAAGAAATAAAAGAAATATCCCTTTTTGCAGAAAATGCGACCAAGGCCATGCCTAGGTCAACAGAATTTTCTAAATGGAACATTAAATTTTTATAACATATTCTGGTAGATTACCTTGAGAATTTTCAAAACACTAGCTGAAAGTCCATTCTATTGACCAGCTTACAAGTTACGGAATTCTGAAAAATATATTATATATATTTTATCACAATTTCTTATTTATCCCCCTCTATAATGCATAAATTCTCATATAATGCATAATATAATGCACTTTTCTTATTAATTAAGTCATACAATATCGTTAACTATAATACACTTACACATACCACTTAACTTATATAGTTTATTACTAGCCCTAGTTATATTTTATATTCTTATTCTTAAGCTCGTGAGCAAAACGCATAATACAAGGAAACTATGTTAAAAATAACCGCCACACATCAAGACTTTAAAATTTTATACTCACCCGTACGACAAAATGGCGGGACAAGCATAACGTTAAGCCTAACCCGGAACGCCAAGGCAGCCTTAAGTGGCAGGCTTACGTGGCGTCGCCACACAGTGGGAGGAACAGCCGCTTAGCGCGGACATAGCTTCTAAGATACTTATTTATCTCGCAAACTTCACGGGAATGTGATTGTAATAACATATAAAGATTCTAGATAATATAAAGATCCTTTTTAAAAGTTTTGTAAATTCAGTAGCATATTGTTATATAAAAAAACTGGAAAAAACGAAATCTGGGATTGTAAATATTGCCTATGTGTTTAGTTTTGCATATAGTACAATTATCAGGTAAAAATAGCAAAATAAATGTCCAATCCAAATAATTAAACAAATAATGAATAGTGATACTACACGGTAGATATTGTTAATATGAACAAATAATTACTAAAGTAATAAGTTGCGAGACAAGAAAGTTTTTAAGCTAATAATAGTATTTGGATATAATAAAATAAAAGGACAATTAAATATTAAATTAAAAGTTTATTGTTCCAGTAAACAAAAATATAAAATTGTAAATAAAATGGAATTGCGCAAAGATAAAAACTACTTTTTTGCATAGCTATTTTATAGCTACTCTGCCATTACTGTTTCAGGAACTTCTAAAAGCTGAAGAACTTCAGTATTGAAACTTTTACATTTTTTCGGTAATACAGATCTCATTGAAGATATAATCGGATCTGATGATGTCAAAAATATATTTATCAGGTCTTGGTTATTATTCTGCCTCGATGTTTTACGGCATCTTTTCTCACGATATCTACGAAAATCCTTATTCCGGGCTTCTTGGGCTTCCTCACTTAACATGCCAATAGGGAGTAAAGCGACAGCAATTACATCGGCTCCGTGAATAAGAATTTTATGAACTGCTGTTGGCATTGGGTACCAACTGTACATACTAACATATAAACGTGCAGTTTCTAAAGCATACGTCCTAAATGCATCGACATTTACAGCAAACCCGCATGACAAAACTTTTAAAATCGTTGCGCATCTAGATATAAGTGTCTCGCTGATACCGGTAATCTCAGCAGAGAGAGTTACATTTTCGAAAAATTTACGAGCAGTGTTCCCATCATGAGTTGAACCCTTACCCTGAAGTACAAGACCTATCAATAAACTCATCTTTGACCGAAAATCTGTCTGTAAAATAGATTCTCGTGCTTCAATCTGATCTTTAAAATTCTTCGTTTTGCACCATACTTTTACGTCCAACTTTGATGCAACATGAAGGAACCATTCAAAAAATCTAATGTACGCGTGCAATGTTGATAGCCCATAATCGCTAACATTCATGTCAACATCTCTTTGCAATACTTTGTCAATATTATTAATATTCTTTGGAGTTACCCCGCACATATTGCAAGTTTGAGATGAGGCGTGATTGAGTATGCGTGATTGCGTGACAGGTTTTTCCATCTAACATTGTCATACATAGTTTGTGTTGTATACTAACAATTTCTGTAAACCCGGTCACTATAGTTGGTTGAAGAGCTTGAATTTGTTGATCCATATATTGTTTTTCTTCAAGTATTACTTCAGTTGTCTCTTTTATAAACTGTAGTTTGACGGGTCTACAGAATCTTGTTGAAGAAGGGCGAGAGTTTTGCCACACAATTGTTTTGCTATTATTAGATTCAACAAAAAGCTGTAAAGATACCAAACAAGTTAGAAACAAATTTCGATCCGTTAAAAGTTCCTCATTATCAGATTTTTGTTTGTACATTGAATGACCACTGCTACCATCACATCCCCATTTACTAATAAGAATTAATTTACTCCAAACATTTGGATGGAGACTCAACAATACGTCTTTCTGCATTTCAATAATTCGATCAATAATTCGATTGACAGTATGGTCCAACAATGCTTGTAATTTAATTTCGCTTTTTGTGTCGGTAATAGTAATAAAATCAGAAGATGGATAACACTCTCGTTTGGCCTCTTTAACTCTATCATACGATGGATACAAATCTATTCCTCTTAATTTGGCTTGCGTTCTTGTTAAATGATATGATGCTTTAGACATATCAGTATCTAACATGAAAGCAAGTGCTTCCCGAGGAGTATATGGAATAATATTAATATTTTTTTGGGAACTTGAAGCATCATTAACTTTCTTGTCCAGTATAGATGTAGAGCTGTCTGTCTTAACAATAACCTGTTTCACGATGTTTGCTTCAGCTGATTTTCCTTCAGAACGAAGCTGCATTTGTGCTGCATATGCCAATTCATCCGCTGAATGTTTATTCTTGAGTTGTTGAATTCTTCTTCGTTTACTACGCTCACACAAAGACGAGAAATTTTTCTGAGACTTTTTTTCTGCGAGGAAATAAAATATTTAAGAGTAATTATATATCACGATACAACAATACATAGTATTATATAAACATTTATGCTTTGCATATTACCTGGAGAAATAGATGGGGCTATTAGTGTAACAATTTGTGTAAGCCAGACATCGTATTTTTTTAAAAACTTTTCTTTATGCCTTTTACATTCTTCCCATCTCTTCTTTATAGTTCCACAATGGTTATGAATATTTTCTTTCACTATTTTCCACTCATCATCCGATATATTTTTGCCGTGAACAGCTCTGATACAACCAGAGACGTGCTTGTATCGTATAAGCCACATTTCAGAAGATTTTTCCATTAAAAACTCGAAGAGTTCACGTCGAGATATTTTGACTAACATCTTGATACGTCTGATATAATATATCGATTGATGTGTCTGTGCGGATTAGCGGTAACAAATGAGACTCAAGTTTGAACCATGTCATTACCATGGACATGGCAACAATCTCGATCACGAATCTCATTTGTCACTACAAATCCGCGCAGCATATTAGTCTATACAGGATGTTCGACGCAACGCGTCCAAGAAAGAAACAATACATTAATTAGAGACAAATGGCCGAAATCATTTTGAAAATGACAACGTAAACTTTGGAGTTATTAATAAAAATAGATAGACGAATCAAGAAGAAAGAATGCCGCGTAGCTGGCTCGTCGCGCCAAAGTATCGAGACAGAGAAAATGACACGCGGACGATTGTTTGTCGGCGTCACCGCACAATGTTCTCGGTGATACGCATCGCGTGATGTTTTCGGCGATACGTATCGCGCGTATACATATCGCAGAGAAATAAATATATGTACAAATAATATTTCATAAGTTTCGGTGCTATCTTTTCCACACCACCTAGCGGTAGATAGAATGGCACGTATGTTTTTAGTGATGAAATACTGCTCGACAATTTTTCGAAAATACAACACTCAGCAGAGAGTTTACTGGTATTAGTGAAACGTTTATATCCAGATGCGCAACTTATAAAAGATAATCTTGAAAGTACCCAATACCAACACTGTTTATAAGGTGCTTATTCAGGGGTCCAATTTAACTTCTGTTGATTTTTTGTCCGTTGACATATTAAAAAAGAACCCTATAAGGTTCGAAACAGGAAATATAGCGAAAAATAGCACGAATTATCGAGATAGATAACCAAGATTGGCTAAACTTATTTTTAATATCTTCAAATCTTATTGTTTCTTTAACTCCTTTACTGTCAGTGACGCATATGTGCGCGAGAAAAAGTGCTACCAAAGGGGTAACCACTAGCTAAAATGTTGTCCCACCGATTACATGATTTCATTTGATTTCATACAATTTCACTTGATTAAACTGGCGAGCGGAGGGGGGAGAAATTCGATACAAAGTTAAAAAACGGGGGAAAAATCCGAAAAGTTTAAAAGCGGGGGGAAAATCGAAAAATTGACGGGCGGGGAGAAGAAATCCGAACAATTACATGGAGATTTCGTAAGGATTTCATAATGATTTCGAGGACACTGTTCCATGATTGTATTAAGGAGGTTGTAAGGAGAAAGCAATATGTTAAGAATAGCTTGAAATGTATAATATTATTTCATTAGCAAATGATGGTTGCATATGAATTTTTTCAGATTTTTTTATCGGACTGTTTCAGCATAAATAAATATCAAAATTGCCTATTTTATAGTAAGATTTTATGAGAAATCTGATTCTATATACCTATTTTCAACAAGAACGTATATTTAAAATATTAAGAAATAATTAAATTTATGTTTATTACGTGAGATATCATACTCAAAGTACGTTTCAAGTTTCAAGCCATTTCACCGTATAGTTTATTCGCTGTAGTTTTAAAAAACAAGTTCCAACACACATGGCACGACAAGTCATTTTCGCCCGACTGCGAAGTGGTTAATGAGATCCGTATTACCGATAAAATGTAGCAACCTCACTATTTTCACCTTTTAATGATATGATATATATAAATAAATACATAAACTATTCACGAATCTTGGATTTCGCATTTGCAGTTTTATTTTTATACAATAATACACTACTGTATTTACAAAACTTTTAAAAATGATTTTTATATTGCCTAATTTCTTCATATATTATTGAAATAACATTTTCGTAAAGATTTCAGGATAAATATGTATATTTGCAGTTTTGTTCGCCACTCGGACGAACGCAGTACTGTTGTGATACCAATTTCATATGTCGTTTTCCAAGTAAAGGGCAAGTAGGTGCAGCTGCTTTTTTATTGAAATTTAAGCTCATAATTTAGACTTTTGATTCATGCTTAATTTTGAGTGTTGGCTTGCGTTGGCTCTTTTATATGTCACAAAACACTTGATTGAATATTTTTTTAAACATAAGGATGATACCATATGATTATGTCTATATTATTTCATCAAATGGCAAATATAAACAGTCACATAAAGTCTACAAGGATAGAACTAAATGAAATACAACTCATTTTGAATTACCTTTAAGGTTTTGTTAACATTGGGCACCGTCAAATCAAAGTATAACATACTGAGTTTCTCACTGCTTTCTATTACTATTACATTTAAGTGACGATTTACAGACACGTGGGCTATGCATAGGATAAAAATCTCTTTTTTCGTAATATTTAGACATTCCTGATTATAAAAAGTCTTAGTATAGTCCTGAATATAGCACTTTATTTTTGGCCTTTTGTCCGGGTAAAACGGTTTTCTCCCACTGTGCGCCATCGCGCCGCGGCCGCCGGGCGAATCCACTCGCGCTCATCTGATTCTTATCCAAATTTGTCACTATAAAATAATATCAAAATTATTATTAACACTGAGGAAACATCATAGGCAACAGTCATAAAGCTAATGTATCACCCACAGACACCCTATCACGAGTATAATTTAAATCCGGTTTCTGTAATTCTTTTAATATTGAATATTCACTAGCACTAACATTACAACATTTATTATATATCGCTAATCTTTACACTAACCAAATTGCCGGATAAAACGACCAAACAATCCTATAATATTTCACCTACTAAACCGACGCAAATTAAGCTGCGAAAGATCTGACGCATACTACTCATGGAACCGCTTAGTACTGCTTATCTCTCTGATAAAATAAACACTACGCTACGCTACGAATTCCTATATCGAGACACGCATGAGCTATAACTTTTATCGAAGTTGATTCATGATTAATAATTACTATAGATTTATCAAAAGTTATTCATTATAACAAAAAGCAAAATCTAAAGGAAATTAATAATAGGACAACCCCTATAACACACATGTACATACATAAGGTATAACTATATTTTAAAAGGAATACAAAATACATATTTAGAATAATATATATATATATATACAGGGTGAAGAAAAAAATCCCGGGACTCTTGAAAATTTCGAAAAATGTACACTATATAAAAAAATGTTTCAGATAATAGTTGTAGCATTGAAAAAGATCTATTTACCGATCTTAACAATTTGATCTTGGGTGGCGTCATCAAGGTCAGGACAAAGTCACCTCGGATTTTTTAAATAGGACCCCCAATTTTTATTGCATATTCTTATAGCCTTTCTCAGACGTTTTCAAAGCACTATGGTTATATCCAATTTGAATAAGCTGTCCCGAAGTTATCGAGTTTTTTAAAGTAAGATATCTAGCCAAGATATCTTATTTTAAAACTAAGGCAATATCGGAGGATGATCCGGCCAACTAAGGCAAGGTCGCAGGATGATCCGGCCAACTAAGGCAAGATCGTAGGATGATCCGGCCAAATCGTAAAAATAATTGCGCGACGAACTTCCAGGCGTTGGCTCCTATTGGCTTGTCTTAATTTCGTTGATTGATTTATTTCAGTTATTTATTTATTTGAACAAATCTGCTGTTCGTTGTTTATTTCTTCCATTTACTCATTTAATACTCATTACAGTTTAATGAATCGCAAACTCGACTGAAATTCCTCTAATTTTTTGAAAATTATTAAGAAACAGTTTGAAGCTAGTTGTAAGCTGACTTAATTGCACTTCATTCCGTACTCTCATTATTCTTCAGCACTGTCTTTAGAATAACTTTGAATTGATCCAAATATTAATTTAGTCGATTAGACTAAATCTTTCCACTTCTGCTTGACAATATGGCAAGTCTTTCAGAACGAGAACGCATATCTCTTTTGATGATGAGAGGATGGGATGATCGATTAAGGTCGTACAATGATGTGAGGCAGCATTTTAATGAAACTTTTCGTAATCAGGGTAATACCATTTTAAAATCTACCGTTGAAAGAACGATAAAGCGTTTTCAGAAAACTGGAAGTGTGAAAAATCGTGCAATACCAAGTAGGCCAGTATCAGCAACAAGTGTAGAAAAATCATTAGATGTTCTACAATCCTTTATCGAAAATCCGCATGATTCGACCCGCAAAGTAGGACAGCAACATGAAATAGATCAAACGTCTGTGCTTAAAATATTGAAAATGAATAAATTCCATCCTTATAAGATCCATCTTGTACAAAAGCTAAATGAAGATGATTTTGATAGGCGCATTGAATTTTGTGATTTGATGATGGAAAAAATAGTCGAAGATCCTAATTAAAAATCTATCAAATGTAGTATTTTCAGATGAGGCAACATTTCAGTTAAATGGCCACGTTAATCGACACAATTGTAGATTTTGGTCAGATACAAATCCTCACTGGATTGAAGAAACATACACGCAGTATCCACAAAAAGTGAATGTTTGGGTAGACATTTAGAATAATGTTCTCATATGGCCAGTCTTTATTGACGGAAATCTAACAGCGATAAAATATGAGAATATGCTAAGAAACGAAATAGTTCTAGCGATACAAGCAATCATGGATGACAACTTCGAGCATACATGGTTCCAACAAGATGGTGCCCCCCACATTACGGAAGGGAGGTCCATAATTATCTGGACACAGTGTTTTCTCATCGATGGATAGGTAGAAGAGGACCTATAGAATGGCCTCCTCGATCACCCGATTTATCACCTAACGATTACTTCCTGTGGGGCTATTTAAAAGATAGAGTTTACAAAACGAAACCACAAAATTTGGATGACTTACGAAATCGAATTCTTGATGAAGATGCTCTCAGCCTTGCTGATTACATTCAAAAAGCCGTTTCATCTTTTTACGATAGATTAGCTTATTGTCAAACTGTTGATGGCGGACATTTTGAACAATTACTTTAAAGCTTTCCAGTATTGCTTTAGTTGGCCAGACAACTCCCAACCTTGCCTTAGTTGGCCGGATCATCCTACGATCTTGCCTTAGTTGGCCGGATCATCCTTGGATCTTGCCTTAGTTGGCTGGATCATCCTCCGATCTTGCCTTAGTTGGCTAGATATCTTACTTTAAAAAACTCGATAACTTCGGAACAGCTTATTCAAATTGGATAAAACCATAGTGCTTTGAAAAGGTCTGAAGAAGGGTTGTAAAAGTATGTAATAAAAAATTGGAGGTTCCATTTAAAAAATCCGAAGTGACTGTCCTGATCTTGATGACGCCACCTAAGGTCAAATTGTTAAGATCGGTAAATAGATCTTTTTCAACGCTACAACTTTTCTCTGAAACATTTTTTATAAAGTGTATATTTTTCGAAATTTTCAGGTGTCCCGTGGTTTTTTCTTCACCCTGTATGTGTGCAATACGGCAACTCGTTCACTCTCTGTAACAAACAAGATTAATATAAGTAACCCTCGCGTTTTCCAAAAAAAAGCCGACGTACTGACATGGTGGAATCATGCTAAGACTACTATAACCTCATTGTCTCAGCGACAAGGAAAATCCAACAATTATAATATAATGCAGAATGTTTCGAGCGTCAGGCCTAATTCCTATTTAGAAATCCTACAAGTAGACGAAAAGCCGAAGTTAACGAGCTTAAAATCATTAACGTTGGGCAAATAGTCCGAAAGCTACAGACTTGTGCAGATTTCATGTCGAAACAGTTGCGACAAACCCAATGAATGTCACTTTTTTGTGTTGAAATTTTCCCTGAGTAACTGGGGACAAAACTAATTAAATTTTCAGAAAGAAGGCTTAAAACCTGACCTATACGTGAAAGAACGAGCCAATTATCTCATCTAGATCCTGGGAAATAAATTATTTAGTGTCAAAATTGATATCGTTCCAACTAAGTTTTGCATGATAAGGTTTCAGATCGAAATTCGTTCCATGATAACTTGGACAAATTCTGAATATACTGTTCATTAGCGAGTGAGAAGATATACTTACATACACAAAACCAATTGTCTAGCTCGATTAGTTGCTGAGTTATTAATTAATAAATTTTGAGATTCTGGTATATCCGAGACAATAGGCCCAGAGTTCACATACACACAATTCTGATTAGACTCGGATAAAACGAATAGAAACCAATAAATTCACTCCAAATTTTAATGAAAAATCAGACACCGGAATAATAATTAACAAAATTTGATACTTTGCTCGAAGAACAAAAAGAACAAGTATTTGTCAGCAAAGATAACCTCACATCACGGAAGTCGCCCCGCTGGGAAAATATTCATTTAATTTACGTTATTTACGTATTTATTAACATATTTAGCCACTTAGCTCGAGAAGGCGCGTAATACCAAATACCTACCCGAATAATTTCCTTAAACCATATGCATCGAAATTCTCCCTGAAGTCTATCTTACCAAATAATCAAAAGGTTTCCGCCTTTCTTCTCCTACATGTCCTCTCCCAACATATCTTGCTCATCTCCCTTATTGAGAGGAGCCCGAGCAACAGAATTTCTGTCTTTATGCGTACATCTCCATTACAGAAACACTGCAACAAAAACAATATTAAAGAACCTCTCCCATGTATAGTTATACCTCTATATATACATATCAAAAGGAATCACACTCGCTATTACTACCGGCACAGGACGAATGTACCGATGATAGTAATAATGTTAATATAATACATTTTTACTTTTTCTTCCCTTTCTGCTCGTACAACTAACAGCTCATGACTGACAGCTGACAGAAAATATGTACAAAATGGAGACCGACAGGCATAAACCTATATATATTAACTAGACGTACTATCCTTCGAACACACATCCCTATATAGAACTAGGACACACGAAATGGCGGAAGCCATTTGGACAAAACTCATTAAGTAGTATTAAATCATGAAAAAATTACGATAAAATTAATAACATATGCAATCCACACATTACCGATATACATTATTACATAAATAATTATCAATAATATCATTATTACTAAATTGATTAAAATAGGGAAATAACTATATTTCTACTATTCAAACCTTCAGGAACAACATTAACGCAACCCCAAATACACGAAAATTACAAAATTGTGCATAAACAAACTAATTTTGTAAAATAATTTTGGATTTTCACTATCGCTAAAAATGTGTCGGACACTCTCAATATGATATCCTCACGATTAAAAATTAGTTTGATACAATATTTTAATTTGTTTATTTAAAAATCGGGCAAATAACAATTAAATCACCGCAAACCCATATTACAATAAAAACACTTGAACATAGTTACTAAAGGATAAAAATAATGTATTCCGTTATTGTTTAAAATTCAATGTCATTGTTCATAACAATTATAATTAATAACAAATATCCATTAGAATAAATCTAGAGTGTTCTTTTGTCACTATAAAACTTTTTCTCAGAACCTAAAATTTGCTCATACCTCGATCTGCCTAAAATTACACACAGATTAATTAACGAATAAATAACCACTCAACCAGTCAAGATAGAAAATTTACAATCTTATCACTATATTCCGTATTGCCCAGAGAATCAAGTACGCGCAAGAGAAATCATTAAACCACTTATAAAAATTAATTGCAAAAAATTATAACAAATTAATTATGAAACAGACACAACACAACGCATACAATTATACTTCTTTATGAAATACTAATATATCGGAGCTATAAAAATCATCTATCATGGGCGAAATTAGTTCTCCCCCGTGGACGCCACCTTACCGTGGTGGGGGAGCTTGCGTGTCCTGATGATGTACCGAGCTGTGCCCGCGGGGATTTCGCCCCTGGCAGGTTTTACCATTCCGGAGTGGTCTGCACGGAGCCAGACTAAGAGCGTCCATAATACTTCTGGATAGGCAGTTGCCTCCAGATTTTATCCAGGGTCTGGAGGGTCGCATTCGTGCGGCCCAAAGAACCCTACAGCGCGGGCAGAGCGGGCTCGTTAGCCTGGTTAAGGCAACCGGTCTAGGGGAAGGAAAACCCCGAAATCACACCCGTGTTGTAGCAGCACGTAAAGCCCCTACAAGAATGGAATCTGGAATATAGGGAGAAAAACCCCCCCGTACTCGGAGCTGGGCAACGGCGGGTGGGGGCGTATCACCCCGGCACCCCCTGTGGTCATCAATCTATGGGCTGGGCGGCGCGTGCCAGGCGGGCACGCCGTCGGAACTGGTTACCGCCCGAAGGGAGGCGCTTGAGGACCGACTGAGGCCGAGTGTGGGTCGGATGGACCAGTCCTCGGCCTTCGCCGGTCCAAAGAGAGCCAAGAGAAGGAAGAGGAAGGCGGATGCCTCCGTCTCCCAGTTGTGGCAGGATAGGGAGGTGCACTTCCCTCCTCTCGAGGACGTTAGTGTCCCTCGGGAGGGGGGAGGGCAGCTCCCTGTGCGCGTGAGGGCGGGAACGTAAGTCTGTCCGCCACGCAGACCTTGGAGCAACTCTTCCCGTGGGAGGAGTTTCCTCCGGTCGAGAGCGGAGAGGCCTCGGCTGGGGGGCTCCTCTCCGTAACGCGCGGGAGGGAGGAGTTCAGGGAGGGGCGAAATGCCAGCAATGAGGCATTCCGCCCGTGCGGAAGCCCGAATTGGTGGCAAAACGGGGTAGGGACCTGGCCGCGTATGCTCTAGACGAGCAGTCGAGTATCTGCAGCATCTGTGGGTTATGCCAGGTAAGAGGTCGGCGGGGGGCTATGATGGGAAGCCCCTCGCCGCCCTCAACCAGGATGCGAAGGAGAGCCATGGGGGTGACTTGTGGGTTATGTCGGACTCGCACCGACTAAAACACCAGGAGGGTGCCTGCCTTCGGGGGTAGCGATTGGCGGCCGCAGGAACAAGTCACCTATTCCCTCTGCTAAACCGCCACCCCCGTTGGCTCCGCACGCGGAGCCCCAGACCTTCATGGGTCCCCCGCTCACCATTGGACTTATGGGGGGTTGGGAGGGGGGAGCCACGCGGCTAGACACGAGGATAATCCTCGTGCCGCCTATGTGTGGCTTCCAGACCTCCGCTCCCTTCCACCCCCCCAGCCCAGGAAGGGGGAGCAGGTAGGGACAGCCCTAAGGCCGTTTGCCCACTCAAACCACCGTTCCTGAGCCAGGGAGCGCCGTCCAATCGAGGTAAACGTGCGCGGGGTAAACCGGAGCCAGACATCGACTCTCTCCCCCCGACACGTGGAGGGAGAGATGCCTGACCCCATCCGGCCATGCTTCTGGGCCGGCGAGGGAGGAGGACGCCCGCCCCCCTCCCTCAACCCCACCTCTGGTGTTCGACGTGGGGTTAGAAACCACGTCCGATCCCCCACCCGGGACGCGGTTCCTCTTCTCCCCCTTCTCCCTCCGACTCACACCGGTCAATAGAGAGGAGGGAGAACTCCTGAGCCGGATCTTGAGATCCGGCTGGAGTGAGACCTTTATTGCCGGGTCGCGCAGTTATTGTGAAGCCCGACACCCGTTGGATGTCGCGCTGTGCTATCTCAGCTTATAAAAGCTATACGCTACACAATACCATTTTCCAGCGAGTTGTCCTCTACCACTGAAGCGGGCACTGGAAAAATCCAGCAGCGCCTTCGTGGGTCGTACTTCGCAGGATGAGCGGTTTAGTCGCGACACGCGCGTCGACTCCCGTTAGGGGGTCGTCTCGCGTGCCGCGTCCACGGGGAACCATGGGGAGGCCCGCTCATTTGTGTCCCGAGCCCGGACACACGCTCTGACCCTTGAATGGGATAGGTTGGGGAAGGAATATGTGACACGGTAGTTGGGTTTTAGCAGACAAGGTTATAGAGTAGAGTTGTAAAGTGGGTGAGAGATTGTAGAATAGAGTAGGGAAAAGCGAAAGAGAAGAGAGTAGCAGAAAACGAAAGTGAAATAGGAAGCGTGACATGGACCCTTTAACCAAAGGGGATCCCCTATAGAATGCCGCAAACACGGAATAGGCCTCTAGAGTTGCCACGAAGAAATGTGCCATTTCCGGCCATTTCCAGCTTCCGGCTGGAACGAATTGCCGCAGAGCTTTACTCTGCGGCTCGAAGTCCGGACATTCGATCAAGTGACGCACCGCTGTGCCCTCGGCGTCACCCTGTCCCGGACGTTGTTTGGAAAGTGCTTGTTATACGGCCTTTGCTCGAAGAAGACCATCGAGCTTGCGTACGTTTAGCACCTCTTCCCTATAGAGACCATTAGTTTCTGATGTTCCCGGTGAACGGGATAATGACGTTCCCTATTCTGGTATTCATTTCTTTCCTAGCTGAATATCACGCCTTATATTCGTTAAGGAGGATATCAACTGGGACCGCACCTGCAGCAGCACAAAGCAACTCCGTCGACGCCGTGCGATATGCAGCAATCGCCAACATGAGCACCAGCGCTGCAGGGTCCGGAGATCCTTCAGGCCGCCCCTCTCCGCATCGGTCGATCCAGCCGGCAGTGGCATATGCCAACCGTGGGAGTGAACATATCCCGATAGATCGTCGAGAGCGCGTTAAAGCGCAGCCCCCATTGACATCCCGCAGCCCTAGCTAAATTGCTGAAAAGTGGTCCGACCTTACCGCGCAAGTATTTACAATGGGAGGGTACTCTCGTTCCTTTGTCAAAATGAATGCCCAGATGCCAAACTTTCTAATTGAATTTTCTTTGGCCCTAATCGGATGGTCGGTGGTCTCGCGCCGCAAGGTTAGATCTCTCGACTCTATCTGCCTTTCGTTTTAAACGCGCTTCTCCCTTTATGCCTATCAGGCTTTCCTGATCAATGTACTCTTGAGGACAACCGCCTCAGTCTTAAGCAAAGAGATCTGGAGTTTTTGCCCTTTCACACCTTTTATTGACTAAGTCAACAGTGCGCTGCCCTCGCTCTTCAATTTCGCAACGGGACTTCGCCAACGGGAGTCGCCTTCGACTGTGACCAGCAGATCGTCGGCATACGCGATGGATGACCTGCCTATCTCTTTGTCAAGTTCACGGAGGAGGCCGTCGAACATGACTGTTCAGCAAGCTAGGCCTAAAACTGAGCCTTGAGGGCAGATTATATCTACCTCTTTGGAGACGCAGATGTCTTCAAAAGAGATTATAACTTTTCCGTCGCCGCTACTCGGCACCCGGAAGATTTTGCTGGGGCAGTCCCGCACTTATCTCATCCTTCTAATACAATGCGGACATTACGAAGACTGCCACCAAGTCTGGGGTACCGCAGAGGAGTCGACAGGCCCTCTGGGGGAGCGCTTTAGACTGTGATTTTTAGCATCTCCACAGCCATTCAGCCCTAGTCGCGTTTCCTTCATCGTGGCTTGAGATATCGTTCGACCGCGGGTCAACCGTAGTCTCCCCGGGGGGTCGCTAGCGACTGTATGTTTACCGTCCCCACAGCTATTCAGCCATCGGCACGACCCAAACGTTAGCATTGGGACACGTTCAAATTCACGAGTAAGGATTTACCCGGCCCCAGTGTTGTACCTAGTGCGGTCTACAACGCTGTTTGCCAGTTCGATTTTGGTATTTTCCCTGTCTCGATGATTCGTCTTTCCCAGTCGCTACCCCTGTTGGTTCGGTTTCCCAGGCCGAGACAATCAGGTTCGTTGCATCGCAATGGGAAGACTTGGATTTCGCCTCGCGACTCCCGTTTCAACAGAGCGTGTGCTTACCTTCGTCTACCCGGGCAGTGTCTCTATTAACGATTTCCTTGTTGGCTATAAGGGGGGCTCTTGCATGAGTTCCAT